CAGTTATTACTACGTTCATCTAATCTCCGGTCTTTAGCTAAGGGAGGGACGTGATAATCGTCTCCAGTGTGAGGAGCTTGACTGGAGGATCAACAAACAGATCATCATGAGTTGGGTACAAAACGGTATTTTTCGATTTTCGTTCTTACGGTACGAGTACGAGTTACGTACTACGGGCTCCCCCGTAACCCTCAACGCGTGCATACTGGTACTCTGTAACGATGATGAGCAGACCGTTGCTAATGAGTGCTTCTATTACTCTACTGTACCGTACTCTATTTACGAATCCAAAAACAATGTTCCTGTAGCCATTGAACATCGTACCGAAACTGATACCGGCAGTTGAATTCGCACAGTTTCAATCAACGTCGGAAGTGATGGCGGCGATGCCAGAACAAATATTGCTCCTGGAATAGTAAGGATGGATCTGAGTGACTGCCACGCTTTGGGCTTTCGTCAACTTGTTCTTTCTGCCGTTGCTTTCTGCTCGGTACAAGTATCGCCGGCTCCCGAGTACCTTGGTTCCTCCTATGCCGCTCATGCTGCAAAGTTTTGGCACAGATCTGAACACTACAGGAGCGAAGCCAGTCGAAAATGTTCGAAAAAGATGGTGTCGGTGATGCGACGGCGTCCGGAATCCATACATTCCTGCCCGACTCGAATCTGAACTTTGTGGCCGGCATCTCTCCCATGTACTGGTCGTACGTTCGAATGACGGTGATCGACGTATTGAACCTGAAACTAAAGGATGGCATCAATTGGATGTCGTCGCCTCCAGCGAAAGAAGATTTTGGAACTCCGGTGTCGAAATGCCTGTTGGTTGGCTACGTCGTATACGCAACCCAGCGTCGGGACGGCTCGATGGCGTACGTCGTTGACGATGGAACAGGTTTCATAGACTGCGTACATTGGTGCAGCAACAGCAACGACAATACCGAAGATATCTACCATCTTCCCTCTCTATCCGATGATCTCGACGATCATAGAGATCATGGACCGTTTCATGTGGGTGAACCGGTCCGGGTGTATGGAAAAATCGAATGTGTCGCTTCGACGACAAAAAAAACGACAAAAACGTCCACAAAGAGTCACAATGGAAATGGCGATGAGGTGCTTGTGGTTCGAGAAATTCAATCGAATCTGATGGAACGTGTCGAAGACATTCTGCTGGTTGAATCCCACCACTGGATGCAGTTATGTAGTATTGACCCTGTTGACATTCGTTCTTGTCTCGAAGCTGTCGGACCCCAGATTCGGTCGCAAATCGAGAACAGGATCAATCTCCCAGCAGCGGACGACACATCGTGTTCCTGGCGGGTGTTTGGGATGAGCTGCAGGTGCGATTTACCTTACATGGAGGATCTACTATACTGCCATTGCCAATCAAAAGCAGAAGCCATGGATCCATCGTACCGCTTCCGGGATGCTCTTTTAATTGCGCTCCTCTCGATGCAATCAAAGACAGCATCAATGCTCAAATTCAAATACAAAGATATTCGAAACAACGATAGTCTCGAACTACTTGCTTTGAAAGAACTTTCCCAGCAAAAGAGGACGGAGAATAACGTCTCAATCGATAAAATCTTCCTCAAAACGTTTCGGGCTCTTCGGCACGACGGGATTCTTTACTTACTCAATAGCAACACCGATGAATATCTCTTCATAACCAGAAGCAAGGTGCTAGAACCCTTCGTAAGAACTTTGGTTTCTAACGAAATTGGGGCTTCCAAACCAAAAAATAGCAACTTTGTGAGCTACGACAAGGCCCCAGCGTTCATTTCCAGAGTTCACAACGAACGGTTGCTGTATATCAAGCGTTTGATTAACGAAGGAGCGTCCACGCCCTACAAAACTCATGGGAGCTAGTAACGCTTTCCGATCGGAGAGATGTTCCGAAGATCCTGTACATAGAATTTAGTGGCAGAAGCAATACCGTTTTCATTTTTTTAAGTTGTTTTATTTTTCTAAACTACAAGTTTCATGGCAATTGAATGTGGGGACGGCTGGATGGTTGTCAAGTTTACTTTGTGTTTGGCTTTGTTTAAGTTTTTTCATGGTATAAACCCTGGCAAAATCTACAGAGCAACTTTTTCTGAAAAGCTATTTGGGAATGACTAAACTTTATAGACTTCAGAGCAAATGATGAATGACAACAACCAACAGGGATAGTGGAATTCTCATTTAAAAAATTTGTATTGTTATGTAACTTGCTTCTTAGAATGATCTGTTGATAGTACATGTTGGATACCCCTGACTGCAAGTGATTTGACAGTTGTGTGCTTGTGTACAAGAAGTAATACTCAGTGGGTTTGTTGAATTGTAAGAATTATATCATTCTGTTTCTGGGGATATACCAACAAAGGTGAATCGATGCATTAATTAATGTCAACAACAACTGTATTCACATAAGAACCACCAAATACAGATGATTGCTGTTGAAGACATCATACCAGTAATCATTGTTTCATTACTAAGCTTATGTTTGCCACTGTCATACTGCATGCTACCCACTAGTAGTAGCTGAATAATGAAACCCATTTACCATGGTATCCCAATGCTCATTTTATTAGCACTTAGTAGAAATGTTCCTGTCTTGTTCAATCTCCAATGATTCCTGGAGAAAACTGTAAGAGACAAGCCCAAAACAGGTACTAGTATTTCTGCAAAAGAGATTTCAAGTAACAGCCATCATGATGCAAGATGACTAATTCAAGTAGCTACTTCCTCTGTTGACAATGATGTGTCTCAGTGCCACCTCTGTTGGTGAAAGAAGCTGAGTACTTCTTTGGAAATTTGAATGATTTGACAATTTTTTGGCTTCTTGCCCTACTAGTACTATGAACAAGCAACTACAGGAATAGTATTACTAGTAGTGCCTGGTATAATGCTGGGTGCTCAACTAGTTAGGTCAAAATGGTAGCTTTTCACAGAGATACTTTTCTGAATATACACGCTGTGATTTGACCACTAGTTCAACTGATTCCTCTAACACAACAAGAAAGAAGTTCCTTGGACATAAGAATAGCAAGAACTCCAATGAGTAAGACAAACTGCAATTCTTGTTAGTACTAATGATAACTTTCATAACCTTGATTCTTGTCCAAAAGAGACACACATGCTTTCATGGCTGCAATGTTTTGCCATTTACAATTTTCATAACATAGCAATAGTGGGTGTTCAATTCATCATTGTGCTGTATTCCACTCTCTACTACTACTAGCTAGTAGTAGTACACAGTTGGTATTCAATTTCTTGCTTTCTTGCTTTCTTGGACAAAAGGACCACCACAGACACCATTTGGATCCAAAAGATGAGCTGAATTTCTTTGAAGAATTATCCTTCTTTTTCTTTTTCTTCTTCTTCTTCTTCTTGTAGTATGTCAGCAAAGTAGACAACCAGGATGAGATTGTTCTTGATGTCGTTGTTCTTGTTGTGTCATCATTATTTTGATAGTACTGGAACCAACAACAGTAGTACTGTCTATGAACTTTGAAGAATGACAACCCATGCTGTGCACTGGCAATGCAAATAATATGATAACAAAATAGAGATATATTAACAATTGTCTCTCACAAATTCCTGGGATGATCATAATTGACAATTTTACCTTGCCAGGAATGCTACCACCAGGCAATAGTCTGGCGATAAGAATAGTAACATGCTAGCAATCTAAAGAGAGCATTCATTCATGAAAATTATTGTGTATATGGACTGAAAATTTGGGGAGGGGGCCAAGAGAATCATCTAAGAATTATGACAAAAAATATGGTAGGAAATAGAGCTACCAGATTCCTCTGACTAGTAGAAGTGCTATAAGATTCCTACCAGATGGTATGAAATCTGGTGGTAGCAATTCTAGTGACAATAGTTTCCTGGAGCTACTTCTTAGGACTGACTTGAGTATTTCTTGTGTGCCTGCAACAAGCCACAATGCAATCATAAGAATAATTTTACTTCTATAAGAGCAACAATGCAAGATTAAAGCCAGCAGTCACCAGTCAGMCAGCCAGCAGCTGCTCCTTTACCGCCAGCTTGAGCAAACTGCATGATATTTGGAGTTCTGTAATAGAAAAGCTGTGTAGAAATCCCATGGAAATTTGCAAATCAAGGGGGTACACACTGTTGAATTTTGGCAAAATGGATTGGTTTCTATCGTGCCTTCAAAATCCTACTGGTTCTACATTTTTTACAACCCAGGACTGGTCCTCCTCGGCAAACTTTTATTGTGATAAAGATACTGATTTTAATACTGACCATAGCAATTTGCACTATTTCAAGTACTTCAACTCACTCTTAGAACCAGCAACTAGTACTATCAATCTCTCCCCCTTAGCAATTGCCAGTTTAACTCATTTTTAACAGCAGTAGCAGTTGTTTGATCCTGTGTAAAAATAGTGTGACAACCATCACCACCACCATGGTACAACTAACCAAAGAGAGCATATATTGGTAGCAAAAGATATTTGATATTCTCTGCTGACCTGAAAAGAGGAGAAGGAATTCAAAGGCAACAAAGGATAGTAGATTTGTATGATTGTGCTTTGGAGCTTCAATTGGAATAGCAACAGGACAGCAGTGTGCAACTGGTGTGCTTTAATATCAATCTTCTTGTTGTTCAAGAAACTTGTCAATATCATCTAGGAGAGTGACTTGGCATTGTGGAATACATTGATTGGGTTGATTCTGGAGGAGGAAGCAATGGAGGAATCAAATTAGTGGAAAGATTCAGAGTTCTCTTTAATGTTCAAGGAGTTCAGAACGAACACCACCACTTGATTGCCAGGAGCTGGTGGTGTTCACCCTATTGCCAGCAGCAACAGCAGTAGTAGTAGCATCATTGTTGTGTGGCAGTGGAGAAGTTGGCGACAAAGGTAACAGCAAAGATGCTGTGTTAGTTGTACTAGTTGTTTTAGGCTTCTTCTTTTTCTGGTTCTCCTCATCTCCTCCTGCTGGTGGTGGGGCTGGAGTTTTTTTGTGGAGGTGGACATGTCCAAGGAGTAGGAGGAGCAGGAGACTTGACCATCTTGATACCACCTTTCTTTGTGTTGATAGGAGACTAGAAAACAGCTGATTTTTTATCCTCCTCCTGTTTTTCCTTGAATATGATCTGGAGGACCTTTTGCATCAGCATTCTTCCCCCCCCACTTGATTCAGAGCAACAAGAACTTCAGCAACATAGTAGACAGAGGTACTATCCATCCTCTTTTGTAACTTCAGATTACCCTCAGCAGACCAGATGCATCCATTGGATTCTTTGAGTTCCTTTGCTTCAATTCCCATGCTAGTCCAGAGGGCATGATCCCTTGGAAATGTCAGATAACTAGATCAATCTGGAGCTGTTATCATATCTAAATCAATCTGTGCTATGCACAGAACTGGTGTGCTATGCACAGAAAGCAGGCCACTTGCATCATTCCTGAAAGGTAGTATATTCATCAATCCATTGAAGGACATAGTCTAATTTCTGCGATCCATTGTGGGTGAGCAGTCTCACCAAGTAAAAGTGAACCATAAGATCAGTCTGCTGATGGTCACCAAAGGTGGTTCATATTCCAGAAAGAGCTGCTGGATACATGAGAGCTCCTCCAGTAGTAACCCACTAACGATCAATCTTCTTTTTGGAGATAGACATGCTTCTAGCAAGCTCTGAAATTGTTCAACAACAAACAGCCAGTGCTTTCATTGAATAGCTTCAACTACATTCTTTTCAGAGCATACCTTCAACCTTGCTTACTGGCACTTAACTTAGTTTTTGGACTGTAGAAACTATTTGCGTTAGCAAGCAAATCGTCCTATTATATCCCTGAAACCTTTCTACCATGCGGTAGGTGCTGTACTTCTCGTCACATCACATTCAAAGATTCACCACTTGTTGTTTAAATGTCAACGTTTTTTCTGAAAAATGTACCGCATCCTTTCCTCCAATATCCGGTACCGTTACTGGAAACCTACTGTACTAAATTTTAATTACTGGAAATCTACCGATCGGATTAAAAACATCTTTCTTTACTGGAAATCTACCGATACACTTTCTTCTTATCTATTTCAACCTTTTTTTAACCTCCATTTTCCGTTCACGAACCGACGGACTTTTAAAAACTGCACGCTAGTCTCCCTCACCTCCCTCACTGCCCCCCTCTCCCTCTACTTCAGAACACCTTTTATTTCCAAAGAGGACCTTCCAACCGGAGTTTCCGTTCGACAGGAAGTATAAAATATACGTTATTATTTAATTTGGTTTACAAAGCACGTGTCATTCTTGGTCGGGGGTTAAAAAAAGGTTGAAATAGATAAGAAGAAAATGTATCGGTAGATTTCCAGTAAAGTAAGATGTTTTTAATCCAATCGGTAGGTTTTGAGTAACTGAGAAAACGAACGGTAGGTTTCCAGTAATGGTTCCTCCAATATCCATCAAAAACTCGTCATCGGATTGTAAAGTTAGTACTCGTACGTACAGTATTAGAAGTACGTGTTTAGAGTACTGCCATGCTGGGACGTTCCGAACCGACTAATTTCCACGTACGCTTAGCTATCGCAACTCTGACATCCGTAACAGAAACACTGAGTTAAAATCCGATCGCACTCCCATCCCATCCATTTTGAAACTGATCAAGAAACAACAGCAATGAAGTTGGACTTGCATACCCCGTTTTTGGAATGGTCCAGTGCGAGGGGAATCTCGACGCCCTTCCAGTTGGTCAGTGATGGTAATTACCGGTCGATGCAAATCCCGTCGAGCACAACGGCACAGGCACTTGCGAATGAGTCGACTGCAGCCAAGGGCTTCACAAACGTAGCGCAGGTGCCATTGGACGCGTGCATAATTGGTGAAGATTTGCCGACTTTAGTTGAGAAATTGAAATTTGAAAAATCACTGGGAGATTCCTCATCATATGCTCCATGGCTGAACTTATTCCCTACAATTGATGACTTCAAAGACATGCCTCGTTTTTGGAATCAAGATCGTTTAGATTTTGTAAAAAAGTTTGACGGAGGTCAGTTGGAGGCCCGAATAGAAATCGACGAGCCAAGGATAAGCAAGTGCGATGACCAGTGGGCACTGGCAATTGTTGACTCTCGAACAAACTATTTGCCAGATGAAACATACTCTTTGACTCCTATGCTAGATATGTTCAATCACGACGCCTCCTTTAAGACTTCTGGGAGTGTTGAAAACGATTCAACGTTAAAAATTGATGTTTCGTCCGATGCTATCCTGGCATCAGTAACTGCAAACACTGTGGATTGGAAAGATCAAGTATTTGGATTTTTCAAGGGAGGAAACGACAGTGATGTCAAGGGGAACGAAGTATTCATATCCTACGGAGACTTTGACAACGTTGAATTGCTTTCAAATTATGGATTTTGTACGATGGAAAATACTGCTAATATCGAACAATTTAAAGTGCGTTCACTTGGTATGGGAACCAAGCCCGCTTTATTGGTCGTTGATAGCGACGGGAAGATTGATAATCTTTTCAACACCATGAGTTTAGACTCTCTCCGACTTAGCCTCGCTCTTCCGAGTGAATTGGAAGACTACGATGGGACAGATATCATATCCGATCGAAATGAAGAAGAGATGTATGCTTTGATTGCAGGAGAACTCGAGGAAGCCGTGTATGATGCAAAGGCTGGTATCTCCGAGGCGGAATTGAGAGGCGATATGGTGGTATCGTTGTATCTGAAAGGCAGGTATCGCACCTTGTTATCGGGTCTGAATGGTCTGAAAGAGGAATATCCCAACCTCTTCTAAAACATTTTTTTGAAAATCTCCATACGTACAATCGTTTGAATTGTCTCGTGGAAGAAAAAATCCTTCACTTTCGAAAGAATCTTCCTTTTTTCTTTCCTTTCCTACTAGCTGATTGTTTTCTTTCAGGTGCAGCTGTTGTACCGAAAATTTGAGCATTGCACAGTTCAATATTTTGTGAAAATTGTTGCCGCATCCGTAGATTGGCATCAAGATCAGCTATTTGCTGTTCTAAATCCTGAACCTTACGTTCCCCCTCTTCTTTTTCCCTGCGATGTTCCTCCTGGATCTTTTTGAGGAGTTCGTTGGCTTCTTGTTGCTCGGATAGCAGCTGCTGCGAAACTTCTCGCAGGCCTGCTTCTTCAGCTTGAGCTTCAACCAGTTCCTTTGAAACCTGTCCGATTTTATCTCTGGAACTTTTGATCTCGATTTTGAGCGCTTCTATCTCTTTAGTCTCTTCGGGACTAAGGCTATTTTTGTCCACCAAGCAACTCGTATGCTCCGCTTGAAGCCTCGTTATCTCGGCATCGTAGTGTTGAGCCTGTTCTTCCAGTGCGCTCTGAAGCAGGGCTTCGTATTCTTCCCCGATCATCGTGACCTTTTTAGAAGATTTTTCAGGACCATTTGCGAGGATTGCATTTTGACTGGTATTGTAAGAAGATCCATCAGTATTTTGGTTATGGAATCCATCAGTGGATGACCTAGATGCATTGGAATCGTTCATATTTAGTCCGAGTGTTAACCATGGGTATAGTAGAGGGGGTGAAGAAGGACACTCCAACAAGTCAGCTCGGTGAACAAAACCACCAGAATCCCCATGACAATAGTCCCATATTCGCAATGTTGCCAGTTCTAACGAGTACGGATGTCGTGTTTTCTCAAAGTGAGCAAAAGAGTGCTTATTACTGTATCTTCCGCAACCCACAAATCCACAGGTAAGGCTGTTTTTGTTGGAAAGACGAAATCAATTGAGAGACAAGGAATCTTCAAGGGGGAAGACGACATATCATCGCATTGCAACACAAAGTCTTACCAAACCCAAAGTGTCTTGTGCATGGAACATTCCCTGCAAAATACCTCACGACCTTCTTCATCTTCTACACGGATGTCATCGTCATACTTCCAAAAATGGTGAATGACTTGGCATGCCTTGCATCGTGCAGGAGCACTCCATTTATGCTTTACACAAAGAATTGATGAAAAATATGAGTGACTGAGCAAATCAACAAAAACGAGCCATTTTGAATGCTATCCGTACGTGCAGAATGTACAAAAAACGAACTTGTTCAAGGAAATGTGTGTCCCAAACCACTGTACAAGTGCTTTTACTTCATAATACTTACAAGTAGTCTTTGCTTGTGACAAGCTTCGTCCTCCGATCCACAACTATTAAGCTTCAAACTAGGCGATTGACAATATTTGTTGCATAGCTGATGTACAGAAGGGGCAGGCAGACCGAGTCGAATCGGATCGATGCGATGAATGCAAACGGCACATGCAGGTATTTGTGGAGGAACCGTTTGAAGAGAAGAAAGCGCTGATACATAACTACATCCTCTTTCAGAATCATCGGAAGTATTTGCGCCTCCAAGCGCTTGTCCCATTATTGCATTATGTTCGGAATCATCTCCTTCTTGGGAAAACTCGATCGTGGTCATGGGTAAAAGTTTTAGGACGCCGTGATCGGGATCGCCGGCAATGATGCTCCCACTGGTCGGCCGAAGAACATTATCCGGTATCGACATTCCCTTGGAATTTTCCAACAACAACATTTCGGCCGGTGCATTGTCAGCGGCGATGCTGGTCAAGACAATACCCCGTATTTTGTACCCCGATAAAGCAGTTGGATGGATCTTCGGAAGCAGATCTTGTGCAAAATTGCCACTCGAGGGAGGATCAATCCAAAAAGAAGATCCCGATGCTAGGCGTTTCGGCGAAAAATGTGTCTCCAGAGTTGATGAGATCATTTTGGGTGGAACAAAAGCAAGGACCATGTGGGAAGTACTAGCCTTCCAAAATTTCTCGGCTGGATTTACAGAGAGACGTACATGGGAAGCAGACGCCACAAAGAACCGATCATGATCGCTTCCGAGGCTACAGGTATCACCAACCGTGTCATGCTTCAAGCCAAGAGTAGATGATATAGATGGCAATAATGATGACGAAGACGATGCAGCTTTGGCTGGTGACGTCCCAGAAAAAAAACTAGAAGCCATTTCATTCAAACTTAAAGGAAAGGCTGATTTTGAACATGCTCTGTTCAGCGCGTCCTCAGTCTTGTTGTCTGCACCATATCCAAGCGTTACATTCAGAGAGAATGTGACACGGCGATGTGCGGCAGGAGGAGACAACGGCATGACGACGACCTATTGACGTCGTCGTAAGTCGTCGCCAGTACTCCTGTCAGTACTTTTGATGAGATGATGTTCTGTTGTCAGAAAAATAAAAAATAATGAACTTGAGAACGGAAAAAAAATAATGAGCCTCTTTCTACGGACCGGTCGAAACAGAAACACATCAAGTACGGTAAGTACCGTACAGTATGCAGCGCTTGGTTGTTACAGTTAGAGTACAATGTACAATAGGTACTTCAAAAGTACCAGTGCGTACCGTACCTACCGTACGTACATATCGTTGTCTACGGGTTCTGACAAAAACTAAGTTTTTTAGGGATTTCCTGCCTCGTAAGCTACCTAAGCCCGCTACTACCGTACGTACGGTGCCGTTGAAGATGAATTTTTTTGACATTATCATATCCTTAGTATGTATCTCATGTAGGATATTGAGAGTATTCGTAGTTCGCAGGGACGTTTGCTGTTTGCTCACTACAAGTAGAAGTACGTAAAGTACTGTACGGTACAGTAATTTACGGCCTGCTAACTCGTATGGTAGTATCGTCCTCAGTTTTCATACGGTTCGTACAGTCTCGTACCTCGCATCGTAACGAAAGACGATCGCGGAAAGGAGGAAAAAAGGAAAATTAGTTCCGCAATATTTTTATTCGCAATCAACAACGAGTGTGCGAGACCCTCATTGTTCCTTTTGAGATTGTTCAACTTCTGATCTCAAATTTTTGAAGATGCTCTCCCAGAAGCACTGTTTCAGTCGTGAAGTATTTGCAGAGTTGTATAAATACGGCACCTAGCCCGCCGAACACGGAGAGTCAACATACTTTTGATCTTAAAATAGGTTTGAACTGCGGCAAGTGATGGCAACTTGTCCCTGCAAGCTCCTTCCGCGGTCACTCTCCTCGTTTACGGCCGCAGAATATGGCGATATACACTCGCTCTCCAAGATAAAAGATGTTGCCTCCCGAAGAGACGATGCTGGCTACAATCCAATCCATTATGCTGCACAGTTCAATCACGTTGCTGCTACTGCATTCTTGCTGCAGCTGGGATGCCCCGTAGATGGGGGAGGCCATTGCGGAGCGACTCCTCTGCACCGTGCTTCTTTTTCGGGAGCTACAGCAGCTATGAAAGTACTCCTGGAGTGGAACAACAATACGCAGACCAACTCAACCCACTTACCGGTTGCTGCCCGGAACGAAGGGTCTTCTCTTTCTGATCATACCAACTACTACAAAAGTGATAATAATGCTTCGGAGCGATGCAATTTGCTCGCAAAAGATACCAGGTGAGTCAAAAAAGGAGTCCCAAGTCTTTGGGTCAATTGAATTCGAGGAATGATGCACGCAAAGAAGACATTTTGATGTTTTGAAACCTCTGGGCTTACGAATGATTTCGGCCTGTGCTACTCATATCTACCTATATCGATATCGATTTAGCTATGGCGACGAATCTACCCCACTTCATAAGGCTGCCGCGGGTGGGCGATATCTGGCCGTACACATGATTTTGGAAGCCCTGAGGGATCGAGACGCCGAATCACCGCCAGTAGAAACAAGCCAGGGACCCCATGCATCCCGGGCGACGACGTGGTTACAAAACGGGCTTTCGGCAAGAGACAAAAATGGACGAACGCCGCTGGATGTGGCGCAACAGTTTTACAAATTTCGGGATACTGAAAAAGATGCAGTCGCTAGATGGGATGCAGTAGCTGGGGGCCTGCCGGATTGGGGAAAGTGCGCACAATTGCTTCGAAATGCTTCTTCTGATGATCATGGTGACAATAACGACGATGAAGATGCAAGAAAAAATAGTAGTAACGGATGCAACTTGAGAGATAGAGGATCGATAATGACGCAACAAGAAACAATAGTCAATAGCGGCGGTGTCCATCGGTACGATCCTTCGATTGACAATAAAAGGAGTCGCCGACTTCCGCGGTTGCCATTGCATTTGACTCGAGGTATAATGGGTTGCTTGGACTGTGATCGATCTTCCAGTAGCGGTGGCAATGCATTGTGCTTGACAGCGAAATGGCAGACCGACTTTCAGGAAGCATTGGGAGCATCTGCAAGTATGTGCATTTTTGCTTCTCCTGATGTTACTACTACAGCTGCTGCAAGCTCGGTAACGAGAGGTTGTAACAGCAAACTCGAGAAAACGCAACGGCGTAACAAAACCCAAACAACGGCGGACATGAACACTGATCTAGAAGATAAGAAAGTTGCTACGGTGGATTCTACTTGTCCAAGGTGCCAAAAATCTACGGTCGCATTTTACCCTCTTCCAGGAGTAGGCACACTTGTTTGTAAGCGTTGTCGACGATTGAGAAAATAAGATGTACTCTGTATGTAATCACGTTTGACTGATTCAGTCCGAGTAGTATAATTTTGAGAAAATATTGTTTCAATAATGACGCTTATTTTTATTGTTTCTTTTGGCGTAAATTCAACGAGGGAAGGTATGTCAGATCATACCAGTTTGTTCGGAAAAGTGTCACACGATAGACACAAAAAGCATTCTATGATTGCTAGGTAGCAACAAGGGCTGATACATTCAATTCCATATAATTCCGACTGGGGAAGTATAGTAGGGCATGAAAAAAGGGAAAGAGATGGAGCTACCATAATTGCCTACTCTGGCTTCGATTCTCCTACAGCCGTTACGAGAGAAGCGAAGGCTTTATGAATATCTTCTTCGGCTTTGCGCCGAATACTGCTTGAGCGAAAGCATCTAGTGATACAGTTCAGTTTACCCATTTCTTTCTCGTAGCGGATGACTGCCTCAAATCCTTCACGGTAAGCATTTACGGCCGTTTGACGGAAGGCATCGGTTACATCACATTCGTCAAGCAAAGCTTTGGCGTCTCGTGCACTGCGACGTGCGGGTGTGTCGCCATTTCGACTAGGATTAACAACACCAAAACATGCATCGATGACATTGCCTGATGTCAGTGACATGAAGGCAAGGGGCAAGTTATCATCTTTCTTCTTCTTGGCTTTCTTCTTAGAGCTGCTCTCTGGGGATGGCGGGCTTCCCTTCAATAAAATTACATAGCCATTCGCCTCGCTTCCTTTCATTTCCATCATCGATTCTACATCGTAAAGTTTGGCTTGCGTCTTTTCTTTTCTCACAAGATGATCGGTAGCGCTCATTTTTGGATTCCGATGATTTATTGCAACTTGGAGTGGGTGTAGGAGTTTTTATATCTTTTGTTCTATTTTGAGTTTCGTCGACCGAAAATCTAACACGAACAATGTAAGAACGAAGTCATCATTGTTCAGAAACTCTACCGTACAAACAATGATAAAAAAGTACTGTAAGGTGAGGGGGATGAGTTCCGTCTTCTCCCATACAGTAGTGTCAGTATTCCAGTACGTACGTCCAGTAAATTTCTTACTCGTGTTTTTGTTGAAGTGCGGTACCGTACCCGCTTGTACTGGTACTACAGTGCCAAGAAATCTACGAGTTGAAGAGGTTTTAGAGGCTTTTCACTTTTCACACGAGGATGACTATTTATATAGCGAACCTCTGGAATTGCACACTCCCGGAAGGAACATCACGTCAATCCTTCTTCTCATTTTTTTGCTAGCCAAAACATCAGGCAGAAAATCAGTTTTGTTGTGCAAGGCCACGCTACGGGCACCTAATAAAGGAAGTACCTTGTAAGATTCCTCTACCGTACACTTATGAACTGCCTTCTTGTCTGGTCTTTTTTCTTTCAGCGGTCATCATCAAAAATTGGTACAGGAGGTACTGTAGTCATGAAGCAAAAAAAATCATACTGGTACCGAAGTCATTAGAAGTATTTTCTACTGTATTGTTGATGCTGTTTAGAAGAAACGGTATTTCTTTGTAGAAACAGGATTCTACGGTATGTGATACTATGCGTCCTAATTTGACGCTCAAGCAAGTTCAGCACAGTACCTGTACGTACCGTTGTTCTACTAAATGTGACATCGCCAAAACAAGACTCCGAGTCGCGATGAAAACTTCTGTACGTACTTAAAGCACAAGGGCGGTCTTGCAGTAACCCAAGCCGGTCCGTTCTGCTCCTACAGGAATGCATACCATACGGTACCGGTACGTAGCCGCCCCCTAGTTAGTAGGTACGTAAATACTTGTAGAAAGGACGAGCAAGAACCAATTTCTCATAATTCGACCTGAGAAACTCGAAGATCGTACCGTTACGGGAAGTTTCTCAACGATTTTTCCCAAGAAAGTGCATAGGAGGACAGAGTTAACAAGTGTGACACAGAGGGAATTGACAACGACCCAAAGATAGAGCGCCAACAAGGAAGAACCAAGGAACCATTCATCATCTTCACAAAGTGATGAAGATTAATCATATAATACCACTCATTGCGACTCTATTCGTCTCTCGAGTCGCAGCTGAGGGAACAGATGGAATAGACCTAGGTGGTGGAGTTGTAACGCGTTCCGATGTAAAATATCTCGCCGATCTAAGTTTGGATGTTCGGGATATCGATCAATCCATTTCTGGAGGAAATCACGACGATGCTTTAACTATTTATATCAGTGGGCGGAATTCGGGACGAAAGTTGACAGAACTCAGTTCAGAATTGGCAAACGAGCCTATCTTAGAAGCCACTCCTCTCTTTCTATTTCAACTTTATGGTCTAGGAGGACGGTCAATAAATCTGAGTGAACTTTCGGGGAATGCAGCTTACGCCGATAGCTATGTCCGGAGCGCTATTCAAAATGGAAGGTCGACTGCGTCGATGGCGGCTATGATTCTGAACGTTTGGATGTATGCGGGCGACATTTTGTACAAGGGGATGAGCACTTGTGAGAAGAAGACAGAGGCGGACAATCCATCACAATTTGATGTTGCTGGTGGTGGACTTGATGAATTCATAGCGCTATGGATTGGTTCGGGACAAACCCATGGATCCAGTGAAGGGTATAGCTTGTACGCTTTGGCTGAACGTGCGGATCGATTGTTCGTCTCCGCAGAGGGTACGAACAGTGATACGTACGTAGAGACGGCCCTCGCAGAAGCACCAGTGAACAAAAACTTGAAATTATTATATCAAGAAGGAGCAAGCATCTTCAGCGTACCAGGTGTATGTACTAAATACAACCCCGACTCACCAAAACAATTTTGGTCGGTCATCAAAAGAATCCATACTCAAATGTATATCCCGTTGATGCAAATGCTGATTATCTCAATCTTGGAACAAGATGCTGTGGCAACTGAACTACATGCCACCGCGATCATACCTCAAGTATCACAATGTCGGCCAAGCGTTTACGATCGTTTGAAAGAGGAGCTTTTGGAAGGGGAACCCAATTTTCAGAGGACAAACGTGATACTCGAGGATCTTCTAGATATCTTTTCTTGCTTTGGAATTACTTGCAGTGATATTGGAACAGTTGTGAAAGATTATGGCTTCAAGTTGCCTGAATGTTTGGCACCCCGTGATAATGCACCAATGGCGTTATATAAACCGAGTACAGATGCCCAACCAGTAAGAGATTACATTCTGTTCTGCTTTTTTTTGTCGATAAAGAATATCAACCTCTGAACTTGCACTAACTTCACAGTTCGTCGCTTCGATTCTAATGGTCTTTGTAATGCGTGTGAAGATTGCTAGAATTGATTTGGATGTCTTGCAGATAAGAATATTGACGTCAATGGGATCTTTCAGATTTGCAAAGCTTTGGTACCTGTACGGCCGAAACTCCCCTCGGCAACGTGACAGCGAAAATGACCCTTATGAGTTTTACTCGTTGTCTGAATTTGCAATTTCAACATCTCGCCGAAACGCAGAACCTTATTATTCTGCCTTCATCTCTTATCACAACGACCCTAAGTATGCCGACGTCTTAATTCAAAACACCTTCGATGGCATCGGTAAATGGGACAGCACCAAGTCTATTGAACAGCGATCGGCGGTCATCACTGAAGCTAGTTCATTTCTTGTTCTGTACCTCCATCTGATCGCACAAATCAATGATGCGGTCAATTACTGTAATAATGTGGACGAGGATGGGGCGTACGAAATGACACATCCTTGGGATGAGGTTGCTGCTTTGACAATAGGCTCTCTAGAGGGCATGAACGAAGGAGGATCTTCGAGTGTACTCGATGGCCAAATGATTTGGGGCTTGGGTTCGCGACGCGGGTATCAATTTGAAACAGTAAATAAACAGGGATACGCAAAGGTGAACTCGCGGTTGGAGGACTTAATATATGCAGGTAGAGGGGAGATTGATGCATTCCAATGTGATATGCTTGGGCAGACAGCGAAAAATATCAAGACGATAACTTTGATCCCGTTGCTGCAGAGTGTTCTGAAATATGCGATCCTTAACGATGAGCTTCCCGCTACTTCTTCCAGTGCTAATCTAGCGCTAGGTGAAATCTTTGCATTGGCAATCATACCAATTTTACAGATATACGATCCACCATCGGCTCAAATTTTAGAGGAAAATATGATAATACACTCAGGAATCAAACCAGTTCGAGGAGGAGCTCAACAGGTAGCAAATGCAATTGGATCTGCAGCATACGCAATGGGGATAAGTGTGAGGGAACTTGGATCTACGAGTGAAGTCGATCCAAGTCTGTTGTATGGGGGCTCGTCATCCCCGCACGTTCATTCATTCCAACTGTCATCAACGTCCCTTGTTGGCACAATTCTTGCACTTCTACTTTTTTGATAATTTATTAGGGATACCGATACAAAATACAAATTTACTACACTGCAAGTTATCGCAGTCGTACTTCACGAGCACGGTGAGCTCAAATTGGTGCGCCAAAACAAATCTAAAATGTCAACACTGTTCTCAAAGGGAGCTGTTAATTTCAAGCAAAATTCCTTATTCCAAATTAAGCATATGTAGCGAGATATATTCAATTACGCAAGAATGTATTCACATATTTATTCCCGTTGAGTCATAGACGCAAAGTATGTCAGCATAGATTCTATGTTTACAGGAATGACCAATTATGTGTTTTTGTCATAGAAACATAGATTCTTGGTTGTGGCTGGCTCACTAATACCAAAAAAAGTATGCACACACATAAAATTTTGGAATCCTTGATTTGAAATTTCTAATCACAGATGCAACCAAAAACTAGTGAAAATCAATCAAAAAGTTATTCTGTATTCCAAATCTGGGGCATGTGTTGTACCACACTTGGCTATGGTGCACTGGACTAGTACCACTTTTCACTCCTTGTGCATGGGAGCCAGTGACCTTGAAGAATTCTCGCTACACTGGACTTTCAGAAGAAACAAAAAGAAATTTCATTTCTTTGTGCAAAATCCATGTTGACCTTAAGTAGGGGTACAGCAACACAAAGCAATGTGAAACCAATGCTAATCCCAACTGACTCCACAATTACATTGTAGTGGCCATCAATCTTTTGTCCAAGTTCAACAATGGACACAACTACTACTACACCAACCTCAGTTGTGCCTCTTTCAAGGTGCTGCTCCTTGGAGTGACTAGAGATATCTTCCTCCATAGAAGTGGTGATGGTTTGGTCCAGCCAAACACCAATGCCTCCCCCAGTTTGCAAGGTAAAATATAATATTGATTCTCTTTTGGTACTACAATGCTGATGGGGATTCATTAGTATGGAGATTGGGCAGGTCACTCCAAGAAAGTTAAACTGCTTATTTTAGATGAAAGATAGTAATCCCATTCCTAAGACTTGATAAATTAATTCACCAGCCATACAACCATCAAAATAGAAGTGAATAAATCAATTGTAGTAACATGAATCAAACACAATTTGTGTACAGTCTATTAATTGTTTTCAAACAGTACAATACAGTATACTCTAAAGACTTAACAGCAGATATGATGTACGACCATGATCACCATGTTGCTGTTGCTGCAGTGGTGTTATGGGCATGATAAGGGTGATTTAGTATTTTATTCAGGTAGGAATTTAGATTGTTAGGTCAGTGGCTGGGAGAATGCTTTGTTGCATAGCATCCAGTGTCACTCAGATGACACCAGATATAGAAACAAGAACAAGAAAGAGCCTGAGAGCTTCTTCATTCTTGTTGTTGATTAGTAGTAGCTTGTAGTACTACTACTACTAGTAGTAGTACTAAATCCTTTTCAGCCCCATACTTTTTGACCTTGGCACTCACTTATTTTTGCACCGTAGAAACTACCTGTGTTAGTGAGCCAATTCAAGACCTACCTTATGATTCCAGTATCTACTAGTACTAGTACTACTACTACTATCTAGTACTTCTACTATCTACGGTATGTCGTCATAGATTCAATGTATGGAAATGACGCATTACTCGTACTGTACGTACGTACGTACCCTCCATGCTATGAGGGGTGAGATTTTAGATTTTCTGCTTTTCCCCTCTTCAAAATTCAAATTTTTATTCAGCCGTACGGTACAAAGAACGGTTTATTATTAGAGTGCCGTAGCCATTGCCATTTATTGGTGCTCGTATCAATACTGTATCAATCCGGGTACGAACTGTCGCCGCGTACTCGTACTCGTACTGTTATTTGAAAAGTAAAGTAACAAACAAGAAGCTTTTTGTCGACCGAAACCAACCAAAGAGAACAATTTCTTGCAGAAAGGAGAAAGAATACGGTAGGATCCCTGCTGTTATTGATTTTCTTTAGATTCGAATTGCAGAAGGCAACATCCGGGCATCAACTGATTCAACCCATTCTCGAACATTATCCGCGACCAAAGAAGACCCATCAAAAATGTTGGAAGAAACTCTGAGTTCACCGAACCAACCGCCTGCGGAAGTGGCTCAGATGCTAATGAACTACGTCAACGTAGAGCTCGCCGCGGGTGGTGCTTCAGCCGAAGCACGTTTTTTCAAGCTTTTTTCACTATTGTGTAAGCGCGTATTTGGGGAAATGTCTTCGACTGATCACAAACATCTGACAGGCGGCTGGCTGTCAAGATCCATGAAGTGGGACCGTCCCCGTGTACTAGCTCAGAGCTCAATGCGTGGTGGTCCGAGAAAATATACACAGAGCACTTCAATCCAATCGGATCCAGTTGTAAAGCTGCTAGGGGTGACCACCAAGAGTGCTTTGTCCAAAGAAAAGGGGCCGCTGACATTAATTGAATCATTTGCAAAAGAGGCAGAACATCGCCCGAACGTACGATACCAATTTCCATTCCTGGCACTACCGAAGCACATGCAAGATGAGTGGCTTGCGTTGCTTCAAATTGCACTCGGGGGCGCTACTCAAAACATTCGCCAACCGAGTGAAAATTCGAATCGCCTCATGGGATCGCTCTTCCGAGTGAAACTCCTGGATCAAAAACAGCTGTTGCTCCATCAACAAGGCAAGGTGCCAAAAAAAGACCAGCGTCGTCCATTGCAGCTGAATCCGATCTATTCCCCAACCCCGAAGTCTCCTGCTCCGGGAATGATACAATCTCCGGCTAAGAAGAACAATGATGCAAACCCAGATGTTTTGCTAAGTATGCTCGAATATTTTCTCGTCATGTTTATTCGATACCCACTGGCAGCTCCAGAAGAAAAAAGGCCATCCTATCAGTCTCGAAATGAATTGTACGGTGAATCTGTATACTTTGAGCTCTTTCAAGAATATGTGAGGTACTACATTCCAACAAACATACCACAAGGCGCCTTCAATGGGTTCGATATTCCGCAACGACCATCTGAAATCTTTGTTCGAACAGTGATCGCATTATGGATGGAAGGACAAAATCAACCAGCGCCCACCAACGAGGCAATAAAAGCACTCGAAGATCGCCGCGGCCCCATGTCTTTCGACTTGAACGCATCCTTTGATCTTGTCTTTTCCAATTACAAGCCGCTACCGAACCAAATTATCCGATGTATCCACAAGGTAGTCACTCGCGTTGTGTCAGATGGTACAATTGCTGATTTCGTCAAGGAAGTTTCGCAGGGATACAAAGGATCTGATCCAGGTATTTTATGTATGAGTCCAACTATGACTATTTTTCAGCAGCCATTTTATAACCACATTCGAACAGTCTTTCGATATGCTTCACTTCATAACCAGTCGAATGTATTTTACTCTGCATTCAATGATTGGCTGATTTGGTTGGAACCATGGAACACTGAGTATCCAACTAGACGTACTATTKGTAGCATGTCCAGGTCTCAAAGTGGTACTGCTTCTCGTTCGACACAAATTGTTTATCCGAAGGCCAATCAACGCAGCAAGTTTAAGCCGTTTTGGGAGGGATACATTGCATCCAATCTTCATTTTTATATAGTGCCTCTCGCTTTATTCTTGCGCCGAGCTCGGGAGTTAGACTTCTCCCCGTCGCTCTATCGAAGAAGTATGACAACAGTCCAAAAGGTGCTCAGAGTCTATACTCCCGAAGTGGTGTCGGTGATTAACCGTTTGTTGAAAGAATCGAAAGCTGATGGTCAATCTCACAGCAAGTTCGCTGTGATGGTAAAAAATCACGAGAAGAACTTAGGCCTTTACGCGCCCCCAGCGGTGCCTTTATCTCTATCCTCATGCCAAGACGATATGAAAAACCTGTTGGAAGAAATTTCTCTTCAACATTTCAAGAAAGTAGAAGGTCTGGACTTTGTCAGTCGAACATTAGCTTCAGTTTTTGGATCAGGAGCTCATTTGGGTGAAGAGAAAGAGCTTCAGACGTTGGTAAATAATGCCAAGATTGTTGTAGATTTTGACAGAGACTTTGAAGTAGGCCCTAGAAGCAAAAAGTATGGTACGAATGCCACGCAAGGCCTCGGCTACGGTGCTCCAGATCGAACAGCTGAAGGTTCTTTTTCGAATCAAGGACGAAACGAAGTTGTTGGTGGTATTGTAAAATGTAATCCTGAAGACATTTCTTTCATGGGAGACACTATGAATGCCAAAGTACAGAGCCATGAAATCGGTTTCCTAGTTCATCAGTCTGTACAAGTTTCAAATTTCTTGAATTCTATCCTAGGTTTGCAGGACTTCAACAACGACGAGTGTTTTGGAAGTGATTTATTCCCTCGTCGCATCAATCTACGATTTCTGGCAGACTACCGGAATCTAATGTTCTTGTGCCCTCTCGTCTGGTGGATTCTTCGTGGGATATTTTCTTGAAAACGATAAAAGACTATGGTAATGCACAGGTCACCCTACTCTCTTCTTGACGCAACGACAAAGCTTCGTTAGCATCATTATTTTTTAGATTCGGTACTTGCCTGCTACCAGCAAATTCGATTCAAAAATGAACAAGTCGCAACCAACTATTGGTTTCTACTGGCACTTATCCTACTGCCTACCGCTCTGCAACAGGCTGATTTTTGCAGTGATCGACGCAACAAGAAATACTATTGTTCCACCATGCTTGACTGCTGGTGTAGGTCATCAATTAAATAACTGATAATAAAAAGAACAATGCAATGGAAGAGCAAGAGACTCCTCAACTTCCATACATGCCTTGATGTTGGTATCTTGTATTATTGCTGTTAATGTTGATCATTAGTACTACTAATAGTATCATTGGTACTAATATGGATTGTTGGTTTCATGTTTCTTCCATTATTGTTGTCATCTTCTTTGCCCTTTTTCTTCCACTATGTGTACTAGTACTAGTAATAGGTCCAATCCCGGGGGCTCACAACTGGCTTCTTCCTGGGACTCTAGTACTCGTCATTGCACTGCTGTGTTTCAGGGTTTGAGTCTATGGTGGTACTATACATGAAGGGATGGCAAGGCAATAATTTGATAATACAGCAAAGTACAAGTACTACTACAAGAAGAAAGTACAATGCTTCTTGCTGTACTAGAGTACTAGTAGTAGTAATAGTACTAGCTACCACTATTACAGCTACCATTAGTACCGGTAGAACTACCAGTGGTACCATACAGTACTACCGGTACTGAATGATTAGTAAGCCCTGTACGGTCTCGTACACGAGCTCATCACAACCGTGCGCGCGATTTCGAAAACATAACGCGCAAGTGATGCATCGTCAGATCGTCAGTCGGTTGACGTAACACGAGGAAGCATCATTCAACAAATCGTTCCGGTACCGGTATGATGTTTTGTTCTTGAATTTGTACGGCTCCCCGTACTGGTTCTCGAACTTTTTACATCCAGACGTACGACATCGATACGAACCAGCCAACAGGTACGGTGCGAGTTTCAACAGTTCTGCGATACACACATGAAAACAACACAATGCCTTTCGTCTCATATATTGAAATAGATTAGTATTATTAGACCGAAGAGGAAATTGAAATAAGATGCACAAGCTAACAAATATTCTCATTGCACTATTTGCGATCCTCGCCAATGCGTGTGTTCAGGGTTTCACGACGATTGGAGCTTCAAACGGAGGTATTCGTCAAATTGTAAACCATGGTGTCCAGACTCCGGTGGTTGAAAACGCCAGTTGCTCTATGTCGACAACTGCACTGTTTGGAAAGAAAGCAGCCAGAGCCCAGGGAAACGAGTCGAAGAAGAAGAAGACAAGAGTAAAGAAGCCAAAGGATGATGTGATTGAAGTGGACGGGGTAGTTTTGGAAAGTCTACCAAATGCCATGTTTCGTTGCGCCATCGATAATGCGCCAGATACCCAAGAGCCTGTCCTAGCCACCATTAGTGGAAAGATTCGGAAGAATTTCGTCAAGATTCTCGTGGGAGACAAAGTGTTGATGGAATTGAGTCCATACGATTTGACACGCGGAAGAATCACATTCCGATACCGCTAGATGGATTTTTTCACAGCTCTATGCGATGTATCTTGTTGAACTCAACGCTTTCGTCGATTTAATTCGGTTTTGAAACAACCAGGATCGAGTGGATGATGTCACCKGTGCTTACATATATCCGAATCCGTGGAGATATTCCGTACTTGGTATTTTCAAGATAAATCATAGGGTAGGGACGAATCACTGTTGTCACATATTATCCTCAGTGTGCTTTACCCTCTTAATGCCTTCTGAAATCACATTGATTGTAATGATTGGACTAAGAGTTTCATGCATCGTCCCCATTCAGAAATAGGGAAAGTTTTTTTGGGTGACCATCAATTTGATATTGATTAGTGCATTTCGTGACCGAACGAAAACACATGTGAAATGAAGTGAAATTCCTTCGTGCTTGAACTTGATGTTAATATTGTGGATTCGCTTCTAGATCACCTTTTATTCAAAATAGATTAGCATCCAGATTGACGACGCTTTAGAATATGCTATGCAAGCAGCGGTGTCCTTTATTTCGTATTAGTTCAAATACAGTACGTAAAAGTTCGCCTTTGATGTGTGAGACTAAATCATCTAACCTGATAATTGCAATGGTGAGGTGTATTTGAAAATTTTTGATCAACTCAGTCGAAAGGACCTGATTCCCAAGGAAGAGTACTCGTACGTACCGTACGTATTTGCCACTTCCAACATCCTATTTGTAGCGTACCGTACTACTGGCACGAACATGTCAGTAACCGACCGATTACCGCTTAGCTTGGTACAGTACGGTAGGAGGTAGGTAGTAGGTACTGACAATACTACGGTAATACCAGTACTGGTGCTCGTAACAGAAAAAAATCGAAGCTTTCTCGAAATGACTTTTCTTACCGCAAAAACCGAACCCGAAGCCATGCAGCGACTTTTACAATCAACCGCAGACAAGGTTTTGGGGAAGGTGCCGAAAGGAGATATTCGTACCTATTGCAGTACTTATCACTTGAGGAAATAACGCGATGATGTCACTCACTGATGATCATCCTCATGACATTGGCGACAACGAGGTGCCAACAGTTTTCATGGGGGAGTATGGAGAGGAATCCGATACCGACCGAAGTTCAGAGATTGATGGTGACGAGACCGGATTTGCCGCTCAATTACGCAAACAACGAAAGCAAGTATTAGAAAAGGATGCTATGGCCAACGGTTTTGCAAGTGATCTTCGCAAACATCGCGAGCAATTCAATCTAGTGAATGTGGATGACGAAGCCGAAGACGTAACTGGTAATACCTTCGACGACGTCGGATATTTTGATGGTCACAACTCAACTTTGGCAGCATCGGCAGGCGATGGAATGAATGGCACCGCGCCAGGTGAAGTGCATTCTGAGCTAACTGATGGGATTTTCGAAAAGGGACGCAATAACAACCATATATGCTCTGGATCTTTGAAATCTGAACTAAGAATAAACGAGGACGGTGTAGATGATGGACTTCGTGAATTTGATACTACATCACCATCTCTGCCAGAACGACCTATCAATGAGATAGATGATGAAGACCATTTTGGAGACTTTGATAAAGCTCAAATACAAATTGCATCTCCAGAGGAGAATGACGGTGGCCACCAAATAGAAACCCCAACGCATTTCGAACCCAAAGCAGATGAAAATATGGATACTGAAAATGATATCGCTTTTCCGCCTGGTGTCATTGATATGGGCAATGATGCCAATGAGGTTGCGGAATCAAAATTATTAACATCTGGTGAACACAATGTTCAATCGACACTCGAACAGATAGAAACAGGAAACGAAAATGACTATAATAATAATATAATCGAAGAAATCGATGCCGCCCTGTTAGAACCCGAACCATCAAGTATTGAAAGTCAAGACAGTGGTGACGATTTTCGAGACTTAAATGCTGGCTCATTACAATATGAACTCCCTAATCAGGCAGCAAATGAGGACGGTCATGATGATGCTTGTTTTCATGACTTGGATGCTGCTCTGTCACAACTTGACGAATCAAATACTGAAAATCAAGCTATCATTTCTGACAACTATGATTCTGAAGGCTTAGACGCTATCTCATCAAAACCTCAAACACCAAAAGATGAAAACGAATGTATACACGACAATGTTGAAGACTTAGATGCCGGGCCATCAGATTTTGAACCCTCAAACATCGAAATTCAAGCTACTGATGACGACTTTGGAGAATTTGATGCCGACCTGACGCAAGATGAACAATTAAATGTTGAAAGTCAAGCTAGCCATGGTGCCAATGATGGCGCTTTTGGAGACTTTGGTGCTGCCCCAGCACAACCTGAACCATCTACTGTTGAAAAACAAGCAGATGATGACTTTGGAGAATTTGATGCTGCTTTGCCACAATCAGAGCCATCAGAGGTGGAAAATGAAGCCAGTAATGATGATGATGATGATGGTTTTGGAGACTTTGATGCTGCCCCAACACAA